GCCCGTCGCCCCGCACCACCAGACGGTGGCGGGTACCCTCCCCGCCCCCTCCCGCGCTCAGGCGCCGCCGCTGAGCCGCCGATACGCAATTCGCAACATATGGTTAGATGGAGGGGGGGGGGGGCGTGCTGGAGATGTTAATGGTCTGAGCATCAATTAGGTACTGCTGCCAGCCTCCAATGTAGCCTCCCTTGATTGACGAAGTCGTTCCCGTAGTCCTTCTGCGCGGCGATCAAATCGATGATGTGTTGCGCCGCACCGTTGATGGACGGGTGGTAACCCGTGCTGCGTGGGGGGGGAGGGGGGGGCGTGACAGGACTGCGTTGCAGGGCTTGTTCGCTCACTCAAGGGCTTGCGTACAGATACTCGTTGTATGACTCCTTCATGTTAGCGTAGTACTCCGTCCAGAAGCCCAAGCCCATCTGCGGCAGCTCCTTGTTCAGACTGTCGAGTGCCGCTTGGAGTGTTGCCATCTCCTCGCCGTCTGGGATGTCGTCCGGGATCGGCACGTCCGCGAGGTCCTTCATCACGTTATTTGTCAATGTGACGGCGGTACTCGAGGGAAACTTCTTGTCCCGTAGTTTTCTGTTGGCCGATATGAGTGCCAAGGCTGCTTTGCTCACGTTCTTGGCACTTTTTGCGAACTTTGTGCCTGCCTCTATCGCCTTACTTATCTTCACGCCCGCTTTTTTCTTCTTCCACATGTCTTTGATCATCCCAAGAGGGGCACGAGAGGCTGTGGCCAGGTTCGCGACAGCAAAGGCAAGCTTAAAGATGGCTTCCAGCTTCGTTTGTGCGTAGTACTTATCGAGCAAATCCTGAAAGTCAATTCCGGCTTGGTGGATGGTCTCATTCAGACGCCTCATCGAAACGATGGCCCCAGACATGCCGCTGGTAGCTATGGTTTGCTCCATGCTGATCTGCGTAGTGCTCTTCTCGGCGGCTGCATCAATGGCATTCTTCTCGAGTAGGAGCTCGTTTATCTCCTGGATATCGTTGCCGTCGTGGCGCTGTCGCGGTGCCGTCGTGGTGCCACGCACCCGCATTCGCCGGGAACTCCACGATCGCTCGTAAGGGACATCCCTGCGTTGGCGTGTGGCGGTGGCGCTCCCGCTCGCGGCGGTGGTGGTGGCCGCCGGCGCGCCGTGGCGTGTGCGGGCGTGGGTGTGCAGCTCAGCGCGCAGCCTTGCTCGCCGGCGGGGTGGCGGTGGCGGCGGCGCTCGGGGTGGTGGCAGGTGGGGGTGGAGCGCCGCCGGACGCATGCCGGCGACACTACGCATTCTCTTCGCCGATACTGTACGAGTGTGGTCCCGACCCGGTCACGGTGCACTGCTCCTGCCGCACGGCGCACGCCACGGCGGCGGCGACCGCCAGCGGTCACCTATCACAGTCCACTTAATTTACGACCGCCCAGTCCTGAAGGACCATACATGCATGTTGTGCAAACAGGACGCCGTGCTCACAGTAAGCTTCAATTAACACGCGACAAGCCCAGGCGCCCGCCCGCTACCAGATTCGTCCCACATCACCGTCTCATTCCCCGTGCCTCATTCGAGACATTCCCCTCAGTCACTGTCTCAGCAGCGAGCCATCCCCCATCGGCATCAGCCTCACACCACGAGTGTCCCGCTTCGTTGGTACAGACCGCCACGAAGCTTGCGGAAGGCATGCTGCTTGAGCCAACCAATCCAGGACTTGGCGGTATTCGGATTCACGTGCATGAACTCCTTCCCATGATCTCCGACGTTGCCACGGAACAGACCACGCGGCACGAGAGCGCGTGCCAGCTCCTCTTGGAAGCCCATCGTTTGGGGCGGATACATGTGCTCGAGCACTTCAGTCGCAAACACGGCGTGAGCAAGAGGTGGAATTTTAGTCGAGTTGAGGACGTCGTGCACGATGCATTGGAAGCCATCGAATTTGCGGCACGTGAAGTCGAGCAAGCTCTTGCGAGGTGTCGGGATGTCGAAGAGGTGCAGCCTGGCCGTGCGCCCGTGCTTCACACGCAGGATCTCAGCGATGCAGCGGCTTTCCTGCGCCATGCCGGCTCCAAAGTCGACGATCTCAATCAGCGTGCTTGCATCAAAGGCACTGGCGAGCCCGACGGCCATCTCCTGATGTATCGGAAGCGCACAGCTGTGAGTGGCATCATTGTAGCTGATGAGCCTGAGAGTGTGGTACGCGGCGAAAAGGCGGTACGAATCAAACATCTCCGATGGCGCATCGGTGGCGAGGACGCTGAGTGCCTTGTACGCCGATACGCAGAAGGTGCGATACTCATCGCCGCGATACCCACCATCGAAGCTTTCCGTCGACGTGTTGTAGCGCAGTGATGCCGCCTCGACTGTGATACCCAGTCGAAGTGCGTTCCACGTGACAAAGCCACGCTCTGTGTGCGTGAAGCGCGGATCTTGCTTTCGGAATCGATTGTGCGAAGGCAGCGCCCCTGCATCGAAGTATTCGAGCCGCTGCGAGGCGTCGGCCGACGTGGCCCAGCCGCTCAAGTCGCCGGTTTGCTGGGCTTGTCCCACGCCAGCGAGCGCAGCCGAGGCAAGGAGCACTAAGAAAGACATTGGGTGCGGCGGGCGCGCGGTTGGGGTAGCGGGGCTCGTCGGGAGCGCAGTGACGTCTGGCAGCACGGTTGAGGTTGCGACAAGCGCGGTGCCGCCAGTGACGGTGACCAAACCGCCAAAGGCGGTGGCCAAGCAGAGAAGAATGCCGAGCAAGCTTGACCAGCCGAAACGGCGGGCCTTTGATTTGCGGCGCCACTTTACCGTGCCGATCACGGCTACGGAAGTGACCGTGGCAGCGACCTGCAGCGGACCCGCCGTGAGCCACGAAATGGTGGCAGACGAGAAGGCCGAGGCCACCGCCGTCGGGCTAGGCACGGCGGACGCGCAGTGGCCAAAGGCGGGCATGCAGACGAGGAGCAGCCACCGGAAGGCGCCCTCGGCCTTCGTGTAGCCGCCCTGCACGCAGTTGGCCGCCGCCTTGAGGGCGGCGCGACCGCCGGCGCCGCACGTGCCAGCGACGGCGCCGCATGTGCCAGCGACGGCGCCGCACGTGCCAGCGGCGAATGGCGCCTTGCCGGACGTGGTCTGCGGCTCGCGGCGCCGGTCCGGGCGGCGGCCGCGGCCGCGACCGTGGCTCCTGCCAGTCTTCGGCTTGCGCCAGCGCCTTGCCTTGCGCCGGCACTTCCTCGAGCGCCGCGACTGCAAGTCCGCCCACTTCTCCCGTCGCTCGGCAATGAGATCGAGCGCGGCCTTCGCCTTCTTGAGCCGCCCCTCCCAGTGCTCGCGCTCCTTGGCGGCCTCGGCCTCAGCCTGCCCCGCGCCCGCGACCGCGCCAAGGGGCTTGGGCGCCACGGGCGCAATGCCGCCGGAGGTGGGGACTCCCGGCGACGGCGACTTCTTGCCGTCGCCGGGCGTAGCCTGGTAGCTGACGCTCTCGCCCAGCCGGCGGACTGCAGCCTCGACGCCGTCCACGTAGCCCGGTGCGGAGTCGCTGCGGGCCGACGCGGGCCCGCTCTTCCCCGCCGCCTTCGGCGTGGGCAGGCCCGGGTAGCAGGTGGTGTCCTGCAAGCGCGATAGGGGCACGCGGGAAGGGAGATTATTACCGGTGGGAGAGCGAGGAGTGCCAGGAGAATGCTGCGGCGCGCTCGCCGCTGGGTCGGGCGTGTTGGAAACGGTCTTGGCCGGCTTCTCGACCTCCTTGGCAGCCTCCTCGGCAACGGGCTCCTCGGAGGCGGCCTCCTTGGCGACGGCGGACACCTCGGCGGCGGCGGGCTTGATGGTCGCCTCCTCGGTGGCGGACTCCTCGGCGACGACGGCCTCCTCGGAGGCGGCCTCCTCGGCGGCGGCCTCCTCCTTCACGACGACGTCGTTCTTGACGCCGCACGCCTGCGCGAGGGAGAAACGTAAATGTTTGGAGACGGGGTCACCGCAGGGACAATGCCGATCCTGGCGTAAAAGTGCGCACCTCAGCTCCGAGCAAAGGCGGCAGCGTCAGGCTCGCGCGGCGGCGCTGATACCACTCCTCATAATCCGCACTGGAAGCGAAGTAGCCACCGACCTTGACGGAAGCCGTTGGCCCGAGCTTGGTCTGAACCTGGGCCCCCTCCGCGAAACAAAAGCTGATTGGCACCTTTGCGAGGCTCCGATGAAACACGTGGGGGTTGTCGAACCAGACGCCCTTTGTTGATCTCACAACCAAGAAAGCCGACTCGCCCTCGCTCTCATTGAAGTCGACCATGTAGCGCCTCTCGGCGCGCGTCCTGCAGAGCAGAGAGAATGGGGGCCGCCCGTGAGAGGGGTGAGGCAAGGCGCCTGCATTGGCCGGGGATCGCGCCGCGACAGAGTACAGGGGGAGGGCGGAGGCGCGGCTCGGGCGGTGGCGCGAGCCCCTGCACGCGTCGCGCGGGCGGGGAGGGGGAGGGAGGGGAGGGAGAGGGAGTGGCGGGGGGCGGGCTCAGCGGCGCGGGGCCCCGGCCCTCGCGTTGGGCGGCGGGCGCGGCAGGGCGCTCACCGTGGATCTCACTCGATCGGGACGGCGTGCAGTCCCAAATGCTCAGAGACGCTGTCGAGAAGAGAAAACCGCGTGGGATAAATCACCGCCTTGTTATTGAGAAGAAAATACCTCCTGCGCTGTGCGCTGGTCTGTGAGAGGTTGAGGTGCGAGCCCTGGAGGCCCTGGGGATTCACAGCACAAGCTTTCAGCATGGCGGCTTCAGCATGTGCAGCGAAAAGCAGGCGTGCGGCAAGAGCGGCCTGGTTGTCGCAGTACTGCTTGGTGGGCGGGGCCTCGGGGGGGGTGATGATCTCGCCGTCCTTGGAGCGGCCGCACACTGCTCGCTACCCCCCCTGCACATCTAAAGCCATCCCTGCTGCTAGGGGGGGGGTCCTGACCCCCCCAGCAGCAGAGCGCTGCTGCTGGGGGGGGGGGGGTCCCGACCCCCCCAGCAGCAGAGCGCACGGACCCAGCTCTCCCGCCTCTTCGCCGCCGCCCCTCCTCCACCCTCGGCTCGTGTTTGAGCGTACGCTCGAGGCGGTTGTGTTCACTGCGCCTTCGAGCCCGGTTGGCAGTAGGAGGGCCCGCCGGTGAGACCACTGCTTTTGGTGTCGGACGTGACATCGCCCTTGCGCTCGGTCTTGTTGCGCGAGGTTGAGACGATCCAGTCGGGCTCGCCCTACGCATCAAAGGCGGGACGGGGTCCGTCAGTGGGCCCGCAGACGCACGGCACAGAATGCGGCGCTCGCCGCCGGGGCGGGCTTCTCCTCTGGAAACTCCTTGGCCGAGACGGTCCAGCCGTCGTCGCCCTACGCAATGGAAAGCGGGGTGGGGTCAAGGGGTGGTCGGCAGGCGCACGGCGCAGAAGCAAGGCGCTCGCCGCCAGGGCGGGCTCCGGAAACTCCTTGATCGACGGCTGCATCTCGCCGCCGGCCGCCGCCGGCTTGAGAGCCCACTCGTCGATGCCCTGCGCGCGACGTACGACAGAGTCATGGGGTCGACCACAGTGTGTGCACGGAATGGTGCTGGGAGGCGCTCGCCGCTGGGGCGGGCTCCTCCTCCGGAAACTCCTTGATCGACGGCAGCGTCTCGCCGCAAACCGCCGCCTGCTTTAGAGCCGTGTCGATCTTGTTGACCGGCTCGAGCGCCGGGTCGTTCTTGATGACGCCGGTCTCGTCAACGGAAGCCTCCGCGCCAGTCTTTGCGGCAGGAATGTCCTTCTTGAGGGCGCCCTTGATGGCGCCGGCGGCCGGGCGCTCAAACTTGGACCAGAAAACGGCGGGCGGGCTCGGCGCGTGGGCGGCGAACATGGCCTTGGCCTTGTCCGAGTCGACCGGGCCCGCGTCAGGCGCCTTTTCCGCGGCCGGGTCCTTCTTGAGGACGTCCTCCGTGCCACACTTTGCCACGGGGATGTCCTTGACGTTCTTGACGCCGCACGCCTGTGGCGTGGGCGAGGGAAAGTACGCACAGGCTTTCAGAGACGGGAGAGGGATGATAACGATCCTGGCGAGCGCACGCGCACCTTGGCTCCGAGGAGCGAAGGCGACACCGACTCGGAGATGACGATCGTGATGCGGCCGTCGTCAGCCGGCACGATTCCGACCTTCGCGAAGGACTTCATCGGCGACAACTCGCCCGCGACGTTGCCGCCGCCCGCGTCAATGCCGTCCTTGAGCGGGCCGGGCTCGCTCTCGGGCGGGATGCCGACGGCCTTTTCGCCGGCCGGATCTGGAAACTCCTCTGGAACCTCCTTGGTCGAGACGTTCCAGTCGGCGACGCCCTACGCATCACGCGGGACGGATGAAGGAGTGGGTCGGCAGACGCACGTGCGCAGAATGCCAGGCGCTCGCCGCCGGGGCGGGCTCCTCCACCGGAAACTCCTTGATTGACGCGCCGGACTCGGCCACGGTCACGTCCTCAGCGGGTGCGTTCTTGGCGCCGCTCGCCTGTCGGCGAGCGGGAGAATGGGAGCGTGTTGGGAGGAGATGGTAGCTCTGCGACAAGCGCACACGCACCGCCTTAGCTCCGAGGAGCGGAGGCGACTTCGACTCGGAGTTGACGACATTGATGAGGCCGTCTTTGGCCGACACGATGCCGACCTTCACTGTCATCTGGTTCTCTGACATGATGCCGATCGAGTTTTTGCTCGTACCTATGAGAGGAGGGGCGATCTCAGGCACTAACGGACGAGACGTCGGCTAAATCTCGCATGAATCTCGGCTAATCTCCTCTCTGATTGCTGCACATCGTAATCAGGCCATCAAGTGCTCCTTCTCTCTGCTCTGAGCGTCTTTGCGGGCCGTGAAACTTGGGGAGGGGGAGGGGAAAGAGGGCCGCACCTACTCGCAGCGTACACAACTTGAGTACCAGCGCCAAGGACTCCGCGGCACACCCGCCTCGCTCACGTTGTTTTGGATCTGCGAGGCGCGCAGGCGGCGGAGGGCGCGTCAGCAGCGTAAAATGGGATGAGCATGGCACGGGTTTGGTTCGGGCGTCGCGGGAGCGCAGGAGGCATGGAGGCGATTCGCGGCGCCGCGCTCAGCTCCGACCGGCAATCCGATTGTGCCAGATTCGCGGCGCTCGATCCTCGGATCGAGCCGCTCGCGCGGCGGTCGCAGCACGGCGGGCAGCCCGGCACGAGCGCGCTGCAGCGCTTGGGAGATTGGGCGAAGCGGCCGGGCACGCTCGCGCAAACGGCAACACGCGCCGCATCGCGCGGGGCGAGGGGAGGAGGCGAGGAGGGAGGGGCAGGGGCATTCCTGAGTGCGAGGGCGCGGGGCACCGACGGAGCTCTCACACGGCTCGATCAAAAAGAGCGCCTTCGGCACACTCTCTCGAGGTCTCGCTGATCTTTTCCATCAACCCCCCGACGGCGAAGGGGCAGGGGCAGCAGCATTCCTGAGATTGCGTGTCGTCGATGTGTTTCGGTCACGGACCTAAGTGCCTCGCCTTCCTCGCAGGAGTAGCATAGGCGGCTCCGGTGGTGTACCTGTGTTTCTTAGTGCCAGTGCGCGCCAGCCCATGCCTAGTGTCGTGCGAGGGAGTTGGTCAAATTCTTTTGTGTTTGTGTTTTGTGCCTCCGTCATCTTCAAGTATCAAGACGGAGATCGTCGTCATCTCTTCGCTCTCGCCCGACTACTGCCACACCATCACGCCGCCAGACGTGTGAGAGAGAGAGAGAGAATTCTTGATACGAAACCACGACGACACACACCAGTCGACTCGCATCGGTTGCCTCCATGAACGGCGGAGCTATTCTCGCGTCCACACCACACCTGGCTCCAACGTGGACACGCCCATAGCTGGGGACACTACTAGGTCACGCATGGCATCAGAAGTTTTATCTCTGGGCCCCGAAAGGCATCTCTAGCAGCGTCGTTACGCATGCGCCCTCCCCTCCTGGGCGCATACGCCTCACGTCTCGACAGAGCGTAAGCCCTTGGCGTGTGACGAGACGAGTTCTTCGCCATCGCAGCGAGCAGCACCCCACTCGCCGCAGCAGCCGGAGGCATTGCCGCAGCACTGTCTGCGCCGCAGTCCCGCACCCGTCGACGAAGCTCCCCCCGCGGAAGACCGCGCGTAGCGACGCCTTGACGATCGAGATGAGCGCGCTTGAAGCTCTCTCTCTCTCTCTCTCTCTCTCTCTCTCTCTCAGACGTGTGGAAGGCGCCGAGATTAGCCGAGAAACGAGGCCTCCTCGATGCCACGCTCGCAGCCTGCCCCACACAGCTCCCAGATAGTTCCGCCGAAATATCCGAGCGAGTCGCCGTGCGAGAGGAGAGTGGGGTGTGTGTGAGAGAGTGGCGCCTCATGTGTGTCTTCAGCACTGCGAGGGCTTGGGGGCTTGGGGGCTTGGGCTTGAATTGTCCTCGACCCAGCCCTAGCTGGGGATGTCCGTTTTCTTTCTTTCTCTCTACTCTCGGGAATATCTTCTATTCATGTCACAATTGTGGAAATTCAAGAAGATGAGGGAGTCGTGATTTCTTGCTGGGTTTCAAAATTCTCTCTGGAAATTCACAGTTTGGTGGACCCTGACACGGCCCTCACGTCTCACGAGGAGGAGGGGGAGGAGGAGGAGGAGGCGGAGGCGGGGGCGGACGAGGGTGCGGACGCCCGAGGGAGGCGGCGAACCAGCTGAGCAACAAACTTTCGCACGTTCAGCACCTGGACGAGGTCACACATGGACACCAAGAACTGCGGGCCAACTGGCACGGCCTGGGGGTGGGGCCTGCAAATGGCAAATGCAGCGTTTGTCCGTCGTTCTCCACACCGCTGTGGCGTCGCGTGGCAGACGGTGAACGAGCTAGCATGCGGGGAGAGCGGCATTGTGCGCACGGAGCAGAGGGACTTTGGAGGGGGGTGCGGCACATAGCTCATAGGGCATCTTAGGGAGAGGCAGAGGGGGGGAGACGCCGTGGCCGATCTCCGCATATTCCGGGAATCCGAAGTTGGTGCCGCGGATTTCGTATATACCGAGGCGGTGGCCGGTACTCGGTGCCAACCTGTCGGAAGCATAAGTGGTTCTTGTCGGAAAGAAAAACCGCCCACCTCTCTTAGATATAGAATACACCTTCTCACGAAGGTTGTACTCTAGAATAGCCACTCTCACAGCACCGCCATTGAGATTTGGTCAAGGGGCCCCATGTCTCGGTGGCCCACACCTGGCCTCAAAACTCGTCGACCTCGATGCCCGCGGCGCGCAGGATGGGCTTCGCCGCCTTGACGTCGCGCAGCAGCCAGCGCGCCATGAGCCGCGCCTTGGCCTCGGAGGGCAGTGAGCCCTCCGGGAAGTGTCCCGAAGCGATTGCGGCCCAGAGTGACATGGCTGCCGCCACCGAAATGTTGAAGGACTGCGTGAAGCCGCACATCGGCAGGAAGAAGGAGCCGTCGGCGCGCTCCAGAAAGGCCTTGGAGACGCCGCGCCGCTCGTTCCCAAAGACAAGGGCGGCGCCCGCCGGCCGCGCGCCAAAATCGAGCGCGTCGATCGGCCGCGCCTCGAACTGGTGGCTCTTGTGCGTCTGCCAGCCTCCCTCCCCCTGCGCCTGCTGCGCAGTCTCCTCCTCCACGCCGGAGCCCTCCTCGTCCGAGAGCGGAGGGCAGTCCGAGGTCAGCACCTGCAGGTCCAGCTCCCTCAGCGCCGCCAGGCAGGTGCGCGAGCTGGTGTACCGGGAGACGGTGAGCCAGCGCGACGCGCCCATCGACACCAGGTTGGTGCCGGCAGCGCGTGGCCGGCCTCGGTTGGCTGCAGAGCCCGCAAACTGGTCCGTCACGTGAAAGTCGCTGATGGACTCGATGACGTGGACGTGCTGCACACCGAGCCCTTCGGCGGTGCGCAGGACGGCGGCGGCGTTGTGCGGGTCGCCGATGTTCTCGAGGACGAGGTGGAGGCCGCCGCGCCGCCGGTCCAGCATCTCGCGCAGCCGCGCGACGCGATTCTCCTTCATGAAGGGCTCGAGCGCCGCCACGACCGCGTCCCAGTCCTGCTCTGTCGCCGAGTCGAGCAGGATTTGCCGCTGCGGCGAGGCGGCGACGGGCGCCGCCGACTGCGTTCTGGCGGCGGACAGCTTCTGCCTCAGCCTCGCGGCGCGGGCGGCCCGCTCTGAAGCGGCCGCCGGCGCAGCCATGGTGGCGGACGCAAAGAAGCGACGGCCAGCAAACGGCCGGCCGCGCTGCAGAGCGACCGCGCTGCCCGCGGCGGCAATCACGCAGGTGCGGAAGAGGCGGGCGGACATGACCAGGACGAACAGGGACAGCCTTCGGGCCTGCGACGGCTGGTCGCTTCGGCTCAAGACTCCCTCGCACAACACTGGGCACAGGACTAGGCACGGGACTGGCGCGCACTGGCACTAACACAGGTACACCACTGGAGCCGCCTAAGCGACTCCGGCGAGGACGGCGAGGCACTTAGCTCCGTTCTCGAGGTTCTCGAGGTGGATATCCTTTTGCCGCGTTGGGTAGCGAGGATTGGTGTAACCCGAGCCACGGAGGCGTGTTTTCTGGCGGCCGACCGTCAGTGCACGGAGTTGCCACTTCTCCGACTGCCCCGGCTAGTTCACGAGTTTCGCGGGAGTGACCCCATGCGTCAAACCCGAGACCTAGCGCGGGTGGGTTGGAGGGGGCTCGCCCCGTTCCTCCCCATCGGGCCGCATAAGCGGCCACGCCTCGCAGATTCGTTTTTCGCGCCTGGGTCAGGCGCGCGGGGCATCCCCCGGGTCGCTCGACCAGCGATCCGAAGAGTGGCCGCTATGCGAGGGAAAGAGCGGGGCCCTCGGGGTACGCCTCCGTCCGGCCCCCTCCGATGGGGTTCCTCCTTTGCTGTCCCATCCCCTCATCTCTTTCCCGCCTGGGCGGGGCGGTGGGCGGGCGCGCGGTGCGGTGTGGCGTGTGCGTGTGTGCGACTGCAACGAAGGACCGCTCGCAGAGGACCATTGGGTTTGTACTATTAACAACGAAGGCGCTCTCAAAAATAAAAAATAAAAGGTTGCTGACGAATGGCCACCTTGGGGGATCCCTTGGGCAAGCAAGCTCATCCTGGCCGCGCAGTGACGTCAAGGCATGTCGCGGCTCGCACGCCACCCGACGACCGATGGTGAAGCCCGGCGGCGCGGCTCTGAGCGAGGCGGAAAGGACCCCGATCGTGATGCCTTCGACGCCTCGCGGCAGCACCCAATGTGTGTCATCAAGATCCGCGACTTTGTGAAGCTCGAGTCGCCGCTTCCAGCGCACGAGGAGGTGGCGGCGCGTGGCCTGCTGGTGGAGTGGCAATCGGGCTTGGGCGACGTGATGTTTGTCTCTCACACCTGGCTTGGTGAGCGACACCCAGACCCTAGCGGGGTCAAGTTCGAGGCTCTCAAGGCCATCCTCAGCCGAATCATCGCCGGGACGATGAGTGTGAACGAGTGGTACCTGCAGCGTATCTTGTGGGGCAAGATGAGGATCAGCGCCTCTCGCTTGAGTGGATGCCTCGCCGACGGCTTCCTCTGGCTGGACTACGTTTCGATCCCTCAGGCCAACCACGACCTACAGATGCAGGCGGTCGCCTCCATCGGAGCCTTCATCGCCTCCTCCTCCTTCTTCCTCGTGCTCGCCGGCACGTGGAGGCACGAGGTGGCCGAGCAGGGCATGCGGGACCTCTGCGGGTGGGCTGGAAGGGGCTGGTGCCGCTTCGAGCAGCTCGCTAACGCGCTGTCGCCGCGCCCCAAGTGGCAGCTCGTGGCGACGAATGCTGGCTGCTTCACGTACGGCGCGTGCGGCCAGGCTGCCTTCAACTGGCTCAGCACGCCGGTCGGGACCGGCGACTTTAGCTTTGCGGGCGACCGGGCGAAGCTGGGCGTCGCCATCGGCGAGCTCGTGAGCACGCGCGCAGAGTACGCGCTCAAGTGCCTCGAGCGCGAGCGCGGCGGCGAGCGCGCCCGCCGCAGGCACTTGCTGTGGTTCCGCCTGCTGACGAGCCTGCGGCACTGGCTTCTCGCCGGCACACCGGGCGACGGCGGGGCGGTGGACGAGGAGCCTCTCGAGGCGTGGCTCGACCGCCTCCGCTTTCGGACGATCCACGAAGAGCGGCGGAGCGGACTCACGCCGCTGCGCTTCGCCGCGCTCGCCTGCCGCGGCGACCTGGTCCGCGAGTTGGTTGCTGCCGGCGCGGACGTCGAGGTGCCCCTCTCCGCTGCCTGGCCCGAGTTCGACTTTCTCGCCGGCGAGACCATCCTGCACCGGCTCTGCAGGCTGCGCGACGCGCCCGAGATCGTCGCGCTCTTGATTGACGCAGGGGCAGACCCGCTCCGGCGGGACGCCGCGACGGGGCTCACCCCGCTGCACCTCGCCTTTGCGGGCGGGCACCCCATGCTCATCCAGTACTTTGTGAGCCGGTACGGCGCGCCCGCCGTCTCGATCACAGACCGGCTTGGCACCACGCCGCTCTGCTGCGCCGCCCTCTTCGGGCGGGCGGAAGTGGTGGCGGAGGTGCTGAGAGCAGAGGCGCGGCCGGACGAGCTCGACGCGCCTGGCAGCTTTGGGATGCCGCTCGCATTCTCCGCCGTCACAAATGTCGGCGACGTCGCCACCTTGCGCGCGTGCCTCGACGCCGGCTGCTCCGTCGACGCCGCCGTGCCGAGGCGGCAGCCGCGCGCCCTCTGCGCCGCCGTCCTGTTCCTGTGTAGCGCCTGGCGGCGGACGCAGCGCTTCGACTACTTTGCAGAGATCTTCGCCGAGATGCCGGGCTGCACTTGTCTGGGCTGCGCAGCGATGCAGGGCAACCTCGGTGCGACCGAGCTCCTCCTCTCCCGAGGCGCCGACACGAACGCGCGCAACGCACACGGCCGAACGCCGCTCATGCTCGCCGCCTCCGTCGGGAACGAGTCCATCGTCGCCGCGCTGCTGCGTGGCGGCGCCGATCCGGGGGCGACGGACAGTTACGGCGGTAACGCCGCCACAGTCGCCGCATCACACGGGCACCGGGCACTAGCAGACAGCCTGCGCGGTCAGAGTGCATCGCGTAAGGAGACACGTAACGTAAACACGTGCGATCCCCACACAGCCGGCTAGAGCTGTTTAACATTAACCTTGGGCCTAACAGTTGCGCTAGTCGTGACTTTCAGCCACGATTTCACATCAACTTTGGGGGCGGAAAATCGCCTGCTCGGGTGCTCTGGCAGGCAGCCTCGAGCAGGCAGCTGCATCATTCCCCTTTACTTCAATCAGCTGTGTACATTCAAGTGCTATTACTGTCTGTATAGCTGTCTAGACGCTCCGATTTTGCTGTCTGGACGCTGTCTGGACACTGTCTGGACGCTGTCTGGACGTTGTCTGGACGCTGTCTGGACGCTGTCTGGACGTGGAAGATCGTCTGAGGTGTGAATAGATAGACCTGCTGCGCACAGGCCGCCGGAAGGCACAGGCGGCTGGCGCGTCAGCTGCACAGGTGCGAGCGCCGCCGCCTCGCCGATCGCCCCGCCTTTGCAGGCTGCTTTGCCGGCGCGCCTCCAGGCGGCACCCGCCCGAGCCAATCCACCTCGGCCGCGATCACAGCCTGCTCGGCCGCCTGGTCCGCGAGGCAAGCGCCCGCCAGACTGCGACGAGGCCGCCGCGCGCACCAGCGACGCAAAGATTCGCTGCCACAGCTGCTGCTGTTGCTTGGGCGGCGAGAAGCGCCGTCTTTGCGGCGTCTGTCGCGGCGGAGGGAGGGCGGTTCGGCGGCGATGGGAAAGGACGGCGTGGCAGCGCCGCAAGCGCGTTCGGTCACGCGCGCCCCGAGGCCGCCGTCTTCGGTGCAGCGTTCATGTCTGACTGAACTGCTGGGCTCGCGCTTTGCCCATTGCGCAGCGGTGGGTCGACGTGGCTACTGCCGGCCCGCGGCTTCTTCATCGGCTGCGGCGCGGGGCTCATGGCTGCAGTATGGCACCTGACCAATGCGTGCCCACGCTTGCTCTGCCCTTATCCGCAGCATCGTTGCGACGTTGGCGTTGCCCAATTGCCGCCACAGTTGCCGACCTCTCCGCGGGCACTTTGCTAACCCGTCTGTGAAGAGCGCCTGTCTAGACAGCTGTCTAGACAAAGCTACAAGTTCAAAACTTCAAGTTCTCAAGTTCTGTTAAGTTCTGTTGTCTAGACGCACCGCCCCCCCCCCCCCCCCCAAAAAAAAACGGCAAGTTCGCAAGTAGGGCGGCAAGCGGCATGTGGGTGGGTGGGTGGGTGGGTGGGGAGTGGCCTCGGCAGCGCCAGGGGTGCTGTCAGTGTCGTCCAGCCACGACTACGAGACTTGACTGTGAAGAGTGGAGCCATGTGCCACTGTCTGGACGTTGTCTGGACGCTGTCTGGACGCTGTCTGGACAGGCTCAGGACTGTCTAGACATCTGCGGGAGCTCCACAAACCAGGTTACCCCACTCTCCTCTCGCACGGCGACTCGCTCGGATATTTCGGCGGAACTATCTGGGAGCTGTGGGGCAGGCTGCGAGCGTGGCATCGAGGAGGCCTCGTTTCTCGGCTAATCTCGGCGCCTTCCACATCGGCCACAAACTCGGTGCTAGCCGCCTGCACGTGCAGCTTCCGCCCCCTGCTCGCCGCTCACAGCCAGTCTCGCGCCCCTGTTCAGGGCGCGACGGTCAAGCCCAAGACCCCCAAGACGGTCAACAAGACGGTCGACCCCAAGACGACCACGACTGCCACGCCGAAGGGCTCCGTCTCCGCCTCCGGCTGGCTCTCGTGGCCCAAGCTCTGCTGGCCGATCGTGCTCTGCATCATCTCCATTATCTGCCTCGTCGCCGCGAGCGGCGGCGCCTTCGCCTACTTGTACTTCTCGCACGGCTCCGACGGGCTTCTCCACTCTGTCATCGTGCCCGCTTCGGCTGCGCCCGGGTTCGAACGTCACGCCGGCTTCTGCGACTTAAACGGCGGCAAGTGCCAGGAGAAGTACAAGGGCTTCGGCGAGAGCGTCGAACTGTGTGAGCAGCGCTGCCTGGAGTTCCCGGCTGGCGCCAGGGCCTGCACCGCCGTCGAGTACTGGCACCTCAAGAAGCACTTGCCGATGTGCAAGCTGTTCACGTGCGAGGGCGACATCACGCGCGCGTTCAAGGCGCCGGCGAACAACGTCGAGTGCCTCATCAAGACCGAGAGTTCGACCGTGGCATTGCGCTCGAGCTTTCGTGGTGCCGGCGGCGGCGCCTCGCCCTCCCCGCCGCCGCCACCCCCTCCTCCTCCGGGCCCGCCGCCACCACCACCCTCGCCGCCGCCGCCGCCGCCCTCGCCGCCGCCGCCGCCGCCGCCGCCCTCGCCGCCGCCTCCAAGCCCGCCTCCGCCATCACCGCCGCCGCCACCCTCGCCGCCGCCTCCAAGCCCGCCTCCGCCATCACCGCCGCCGCCGTCGCCGCCGCCGCCGTCGCCGCCGCCGCCCTCGCCGCCGCCACCCTCGCCGCCGCCGCCCTCGCCGCCGCCGCCCTCGCCGCCGCCCTCCGCGTTGCCTGCGCCGCCGCCGTCCGTGTCGCCGTCCCCGCCGCCTCCGTCGGCCTCGCCGTCGCCTCCGCCGCCGTCAACGTCTCCCTCCCCGCCGCCTCTCTCCGGAACTCTCCTTTTTGACGTGTTTGATCCGGACATCATTGAAGTAACAGCGGGCACCATGAAACGCATCAGCGGCACGGGATGGAACGAGGGGTACGCACGGCTCTCGTCCCCGCCAATCGCCGCCACCGATAAGGTTGCCATCCAGCTGACGGGTGATGATCAGGATCCGGTTTGGGCCGTCTCGGTGAACCTCGTGCATGGCACTTGGGGGCCCGGTTTGTCCCATCCCTTCAATACCATTGACTACACCATGTACCTTCAAGCAAGCGGGGTGCAAAATGGGGCAAACATCTATCCCCACACGGATTGTGCTTTCCCTCCCTGTGACCAAGGCATAGTCGCCACTTTTTCCGGCCAACGGCCAACTCTGCAGCTTCGCATTGACCAGGGCGTAGTCTCCATCGCCAAGGACGGCGTTTCCATTTACACCTTCACCAAGGTCAACAACGAGTGGCCTCTCTACGCGGGCGCGTACATCTACAGGCTCGGCAATAAAATCACTGACTTGGAGCTGGTCTCGTGGTCCTGACCCCCCCAGGTAGATGATCATCTACCTGGGAGGGGGGGGGGAGCTTGACCCCCCCAAGGAGATGATCAGGTCCGGACCACTTGGCACTTGGTGATATGGACTCTAAATCATCAATTTCGCATCGATTTTCATGATTTTTCGCTCCGAAATTGATATGTCGCCTTAGTCGTTCGCAGGGCGCAACAACTAGCGATAGCGCAATATTTGCCAGGAGCTTCACCCGAGGGCTCGCTGTGAGTCGATCGGGAGTCACTGGGATGGCTTGCCTGCCTTCTCTGATTGGCATGCGAGGACGATGTGCTGTCGTCGAGGAGCAGGATTGCTGGTTGCTCGTCGTCACGCGATGCGTGGCTGGACGTGCAGCCCTGACCCGGCAAGCTGTCGTTGTCGGACTCTTGCCCAGGCGACTCGACAGGAAGGAGAGGACTTATGAGCCCAGCTATCATGTTTTGCGGCGCTTCGGACGCCGGTGAACGCTTCGGGGGCTTTCACCCCTGGCCAAATTCTTCTGTCCGCTTTGGAGTTTTTGTTTAATTGTAGTTCTACTTGGAGTTGGTGCGCGTGATTTTCGCGGAGCTCTTTCTTTCAGACCGAGAACAAACGTCGCGCTCTCGCGGGCGCCCGCAGTTACGCGTGGCAACCCTCGGCAGCTGCAACGAGTGCGGTGCTCGGCGTGCTCTCGCCTACAGTGCTAACTGACGCAGTATGGCTGCAGGGACATGGGATGCCATGCATGGCCTCTACTGGGCGGTGGTGACGCTATCGTCGGTCGGCTATGGCCACCTCGTGCCGCGCTTTGATGCGGGGCGCGTGGTGGCGAGCCTCATCATGCTGGGCGGCGTGGGCTGCCAGGCGACGCTGTTCACCGCCCTCGCGCTGCTGCCGGCAGCACTGCGGCGGCGGCGCCTCGAGCGGCGGGCAATGGAGCATCTTGCGCGCGGCAAGGACAAGGGCGGGCTGGCGGACGAGGAGCTGCTTGAGCTGACCGCCGGTGAAACAATGAAGGCGTGGCGGCTCTCCTCGAGCGACTCGTACGTGACGCGCGACGAGTTTTGCCTCGCGATGCTGCTGCGGCTCGAGAAGATCTCGGCAGAGGATTTGCGGCTCGTGCAGGACACCTTCCTCAGGCTGGACGCCAACCGCAGCGGCAAGCTCGAGTCACGAGAGAGCGCGAGCAGGCGAGAAAGCCAACGCGAGCTGACTGCGAGTCTCGACTTTTGAGCGAGGCGCAGCTCGCTCGCGCCGCGGCCCCCGCGAGGCCCGCGTGCACCGTGCAGCTGCACACGCAGCCTGACGGGCTAGCTGGCGGTGGTGGCGGGCGGGCGAAGCGCGGGACAAGCCGTCAAATCTGTTAAAACTGACGAACAACAACCAGCATGTGTAAACTCTCACGCGCAGTGAACACGCGGCACCCAGAGGCGCTTACATCAGAGCTCCCTATTGTGCCGGCCAAAGCGCGGGCCAGCGTAGCATCGCCCGGGCGCAGCACGGGGGAGGGGGCAAAAGAGAGAGAGCGCAGAGCGAGCGGGAAAAGGGGTTCGGAGGACCGAGACTGAGTCCCAAAGCCACGCTCCGCGTACGCGAGCGGCGCAAACCGCCCCACGCCAGTCACAGCGGCGCACGCGGCAGCAGGTGCGTTTGTCCGGCAAGAGACGGCGTCGGGGCAGATGGCGCTGCGCCGGCTCAAGGCGCCTCTTCCGGCGCCGCAGCAGGCGACCCCTTGCTCGCAGCCTCGGCCTGCGAGATGAGCCAGTCGGCGGCGCGCTCGATGTCGTCGCCGTTGGCCTGCAGCGCCTTCTCGCACTGCCGCGCCGACTGCGACGTCACCGCGCGCAAGTGCTTGGCGAGCTCCCGCCGCGCCTTTTCGGGAAGCACGCGCTCGCCGCCTTCCCCGGCCTCAGCCTCCATCTGCGACGCGCTCGGCTCGGCCGGCTCGGCCGCCGCGCGCCCCTGCTCCTCCTCCTCCCCCCCCCCCTCGATCAGCGCCCGTTCGGCATTCTCGATCGCCGCAATCGCGCGCGTGGCGTCGAGTGGCTCGTGAAGGCCGTCGCCACTCGCCCCCTGCTCGCCGCCCTCTCGCTCCTTGACGTCGAGCGAGACGCCATGCCGCTCGAGCTGGTCGCGCAGCCTGTCCGCCGTCTTGTAGTCGCTCGTGTAGCGCGCCTGCTCGCGCTCCCGCACCAGCCGGTTGATCTCGGCGTCGTCGAGCGACGCGGCGCCCGACTTTGCCGCCTTTTGCGCGTGGATCTCCGACACGTTGACTTGCGTGATGGAGCCGGACCGGCCGTCCGCGGCGCGCCACGTCTTGGCCTGGTCGTCGAGCGTCACCCCGAGCTTGGCCAGCTGCTCGCGGAGCCGGTCCGCCGCGTCAAAGTCGCGCGAGAAGCGCGCCTGCTCCCGCTTAGCGACGAGCGCCCGGACTGTCGAGTCGTCGGTGGCGCCGCCCCCGGCGCCCGCGCCGGTCCGCTTCGTGGAACCCCCCTCTGCGTTCCTATGCCGCGACGGCGGCGGGTGCGCCGGCGGCGGCTCCGCGGGCGCCCGCCGCACGACCGACGCCCACCCCACGCCGCCGCCGTCCAGCTGCCCGTTGGTCGCCGCGGCGGGCGCCGCCACTGGCGGCGCCGCTGGCGGCGGCGCCGCGACGCCAAGGCCAGCGAGGAGGCCGCCGCCGAGCCCGTCGTTTAGCGGCGGCAGCGACACCGCGCGGGTCGCTGTCGGCAGCGCCGACGGCAGCTCGCCGCCGCCGCGCCGCCCGCCCCCCACGGCCGCGTCCTTTGGCGCCGACGCCGCCGCGGCGCGCAGCGCGAGTTCCTCGTCTGCGAGCTGAGCGACGATCCGCTCCCCGACGAGCCTGGCGATGCCCTCGCAGCTGGCGCGCACCTCGGCCTCGGCCGCGCCCCGCTTGGCGTGCTGCGTCCACAGCGTCCAGAGCACCTTGAGCAGGTCGGTGAAGGTCATCATGAACGGCAGGATCCACTCGCGCACCGCGTAGTCGGCCGACGGGATCTCGCGCAGCTGCAGCGACTGGACCAGCATCTGCTTGCCGTGCGAGCCCGGGTTGGTCTCGAGGCACTGGCGGATGGTCTTGCCGTCGGTGAAGTGCCGGTTGATCTTCTGGCACAGCTGCGTCACCACCTGCATCTCCTGCTCCGACATGACCACGACGCCGGGGAAGCGCTGGATCAGGTGCGTGTAGATCTCCTCGAGCCGGAAGAAGCCCTGGAAGAGGGACGCCTCGCCGGGGGAGTAGGTGGGCGTGTAGATGCCCGGGTTGCACAGCGCGTCCTTGTACACCGTCTGGAACTGCAGCAGCAGGTTGAGCAGCAGCCACTCCACGCGGTCCTGCTCCGTTGCGGACTCTGGCGGGTAGGCCATCGACGCGCGCATCGAGCCGGGCTGCGCCTCCGTCTTGGCGTCGTACGGCGGCAGCGACTGGACGTACGACATGACCTGCACCGAGTGCAGCAGCATCGGCTGGAAGAGCAGCACGCGCGCCGCGTGCGAGATCTGCACCACAAACTGCTGCACCTCTGCGGGCGTGGTCTTGCCCGCCCCCTGCTGCAGCCCCTGCTGCACGCGCTGCAGCCAGACGAGCATCTGCACGTGCTGCAGCGCGAAGAGCTCGTACTTTGCGCGCGCGAAGACGGGCGACTGCAGCTCCTTGCCCAGAAAGTTCGGGTCGTGCAGCGTGTTGAGCTGGTTGGCCAGCGCGGACAGGTGCTGCTGGAAGGTTTGCAGGTCGCACGGCGACGGCTGCCCGCCGAGCATGCGGAGAGGGCCGTCGAGCTGCGCGAGCTGCACGAGCATTCGGATGACGGAGCCCATGTGGGGCGCGGACGCGGCGCCCTGCAGCACGCTGAACGTCGCCTGCAGCTGCGCCTGCTCCATCGGCTGCGACATCTCTGGCAGCAGCGTGTCGTCGCTCGGGAGCGGCGGCAGCTCTGGCGCCGCCAGCGCGCCAGTCGCAATGTCGGTGAGGCAGGAGAGCAGGCCCTCGTGCGGCGCCCAGGCCGCCTCGGGCAGCACGATGTGCTCGCCGCCCTCGACGAGCAGCGAGGCGAGCGGCGCCAGGGGTGGCGGAGCGGCGCCAGGGGCGCCTATGGTGGCGGGCACGCGCACGGCGTCAGGAGCGCGCTCTCTGCGACGGCGCGGCAGAGGCGCGCACCCTGCAGCACGCTGAAGCTGGGCCCAGTTCCCTGGAGCATGGCGGCAAACGTCTCGCTCATCTTCTGCCGCAGCCGCGCGTCGGCCGTCGAGGCCACCCCAGCCTCGATGAGCTCTCTCTGAATGACGTGCTCGCGCTGCAGCTGCACGTTGCTCGCGACCGCCTCCAGGACGGCGCGAGGGTCCGCGGCGGCGAGCGGCTCTGCTGCGGCGAGCGGCGCGGTCACACGGTTGCCCGAGCCGCCGCCGCGGCGCGAGCCGCGCGAGCCGCGGCTGCGCGCCGCGGCGAGGCCCTCGCTCACGCAGGCCATCAACTCGCAGCGCTCTGCCCTGCCGTGGAAGAATTCTGCCATTATCCCTGTCCTTCTCCCACCATATCCCTCCCTTGGGTTGTATGGTGAACGAGAGAAGAGGGACGCCTCGCGATGCTACAGAGGGCCTCGACCAGGATTCTCCACGGTCAGAGACCACTCTCATCCCTACCACAATGAGAGGTTGAGAGGTGCGAGCCCTGGAGGCCCTGGCGCCTGGGGATGGGGGGAGACTACCCGCGGGCCTAGAAGGGTGAAGGCCCGCGCGCAGCGGGGTGGGACATTGAGATTGAAGGCGGAGGTGGAGGCGGCAGGTGCTTCACAGGGGTTCACAGCCTTGTTATTGAGAAGAAAATACGTCACCGCTGTGTGCGCTGCCCCGCTGGCGTCTCTCGTGGGTGAGCGGAGGTTGAGGTGCGAGCCCTGGAGGCCCTTTCTCAGCCTTGTTATTGAGAAGAAAATACCTCATATGGCTTCACACGGACTCATGGTACAACACACAACTCTCTCCCTCTCTCCCTCCAACCTCTCCGATGGTCGGGTGTGGTGCGTGGCCCTCTACATTAGATCTATAGCGTAGGATGCTAGAGAGCCTCTAAGCCTCTGATCCAGAGCACGTGGGGGTGACAAGCAGGCAAATGCACATGAGCATGGAGGAAGGCTCGCGCCAGCTTAGGGGCGGCACCTTTCCTCCGAGCGGGGCGATGTCTCTCTTCTAGGCTCCCGCCCTCGGAAGCCCACGCATGATCCATGGATTCGGGATCCCGGGCGCGAGCCTCTTCCACGCGCCCTTCATGCCCTGCGGCGGCGTCGTCCGCATCCGGTGCAGCCCGACCGCCTCGAGCATCGCCTCCTCGAGCAGCGAGCCGGGCGCGACGTGCTCCCGCCAGGTGCGCGCAAAGTCCTCCTTCAGGCCGACGGTGTCTACCACCGCGTGCGTCGCCTCGGGCAGCGCCGCCGCCTCGGGCAGGGGCCGCAGGACCACGCACCTCCTCGCCTGGTGCACCCCTCCGATGCGCTGCAGGCTGGAGCTCACCACGACGTGCGGGTGCGTCGCGTGGGCGGGGCCGCGTGAGCGCACGTGGTCCTTGAGGAAGACCAGCCGGCCGAGCTTCACCTCCTTCGCCCGCGCCTGGCCCGACGTTTTGCACGACTTTTGCCCGCGCAGCTCGCCCTCCTCGAGCGGGTTTGCCTCGGCGTGGGAGCGCTTGTGCGCGTCGCGGGACCGCTCGCGTGCGAAGAAGCCCCCCTGTGCCCAAGGCGCGTGCGGCGGCCCGTCAGATGCCTGTGTGTTCGGGAGGGCTGTGAGTGAGCGGACGGCACCTCGAGTGCAATGCGGCGCGCCTCTCGCTGCAGCTGCTCGACCTCGTGCGGAGGCGTGCCGCTGTGCACGTACGGCCGCCCGCTGCCCACGGGAATCCACCCCTCCCATGGGTCGCCGGGCCGCGCGGGCTGCGGGGTGACGAGGGGTGGAATCTCCAGGCTCTCCACACGGGCCGCCGCGAGCGCCGGAGAGCACCACTCGGTCAACCTTACGCCCCGGCTGAGCCGCTCGTAGCTTATCTCGCCGAGGAGGGCCGGGTCGATCTCCGAGCTGCGCAGATACACCTCGAACCGGTTCATGAACTCCGTTCGGACGGCCGTGCCGTGGTAGGCCGCGTAAACGCGCTGGCATGCCTGCCCGAGGCAGTTGTAAGTCCGGCCGACCAGCCTCTCCACCGGCTCTACCATTTCCGGATGCCGCGCGCTCCACACGTAGTGTGGGTCGACCCGGACGACCCGCGTGCAGCCTAGCAGCCTCTCGTTGAAATCGAGCACCTCTAGGACGGCTAGCGGCACGGGCGGGCCGGACATGCTGTCATCCACGCTGTCGCGGTAGATGACAAAGAGCCGGTCGAGGAGCATGCACGGTGCGAGAAATGAACCGACACACCTGCGGGAGAGCGCACCGGGCGGAAGAGGCTGCGTAAGCGAGGCGGGCGCGACTCACGAGCGTGTACCACACTCGCCTCTGACGTTGATATCCCGGTTGGTACAGCGCGCTCACATCGCTCGCAGGCGAGTGGCGGAGCGCGCTGCTGGCGTGGTGATCCGAGGGCTACGGTCGGCGGTGATTGGAGCCACAGTATCGGCCGCCGCTAGTCCTCTCTCCATCACACCCTCAGGCAGTACTCGAGTAGTCGTTGGTTTCGCGGCAGATGCTCGCGCGTTGCCAGGTGTATTTGTTTTTCTGCTTAACAACTCTGATCATCGAAGGGTTGTGTGTGTGTGTGTGTGTGTGTGTGTGTGTGTGTGTGTGTGTGTGTGTGTGTGTGTGTGTGTGTGTGTGTGTGTGTGTGTGTGTGTGTGTGTGTGTGTGTGTGTGCGTGCGTGCGTGCGTGCGTGCGTGCGTGCGTGCGCGCGTGTGTGTGTGTGTGCCTCGACCCTCGAGGTGTGTGTGTGCGTGTGTGTGTGTGTGCTCACCTGGGCGTACCGCGACAGGAGCGTGCGCACGCACTCGGACTTGGGCCCGGTGTGCTTAGTTCGTGGAAGCATGAACTCAAAACGGGAGAGCGCAAAAACAGCCGGCGCTGACCGGCAAGCACAGACACCTCAACTCGGATCATCATACGAACCGTCTTCCGCGCCAAGCAAGAGCGAAGAGGGGCGCTGTGGCGTGTGGGTCTGAGAAGAAAAATTTTCCCTCCGGCCAGGGGAAAGGCGGCGTGCACGCGCACGAGGCCCTTGCCCTGCGAATGCGCGCCCCCCCCTAGCTAGGGGTCAGGGCTCTCTAGCCCGTAGCCCGATGCCGATCATCCGGCCCGCTGGATGCGCTTCTCAGCTCACCGGCCCTGGATGTGAGGTTGCCGACTGCACTCCAAGTGCTCCAAGTGCGCACGTACACACGTTGGCCTGTCGCTGCTGAGCAGCACCGACTGTCCGGCCACTTTGATCTGCGAGTCTGATCAGCGGCGTGTGCTTGGTGGCGAGCCGAGCGGCGGCGGGAGCGGAGCCGCCACCGGAAGGAAGGGCGAGCCCCCGCCGCCGCCGCCGCCGCACCAGCGACGATGACTGCGGCTCGCCCCTGCCGCCAGGCGCCAGATCGGCACTAGGGCTTGGCGGCGGCGCAGCGCGCTTCGAGCCAAACGAGCCGCCGCCTGCCTAGTGCTGGTGGCCCCGCCTCGGCGCGCGCCGACAGCCCCTCCGATGCGGGCCGCGGCCGCGTAGAGCGCGCACAGCGTGAAGAGCGACCGGCCGCACTCGGGCCGAGAGAGGAATCCCTGGGACGCAGTCGTGTGGGCGCACCCTGCCCACCCAACGGTCCGTGTCGCGATGCGCTCCCTTACCCGCTCCCGGTTCCCTTCTGTCCCTGTGATCATCCTTCCAATATCCTGCTCGTGCAGATGGGGTCTCCCACCCCTCGTTTGCCGTGTCCGGTGTATTTATTTGTGAAGCACAACAAAAAGAAAGAAAGAAAGAACGAAGACGGACAACCCAAGGGAGGGATGGGAGGACGGCACGCCGCCACCACACAGGGATTTTGAGGAGAGGGGTGTGGTGCGCTAGCCGTCGCCCACCCTTGGGCAAGCACAACAAAAGGCGAGACTTCGCTCGCACTTGGAGCACTTGGAGTGCAGTCATTGGTACCTCGATTTCTTGCTTTTCAACGAGCCAGAATGCAGGATCGAACTCCTCCAACTCTCATGCACGAGCGGCTCGGGAGCGAGCTGCTCGGGCGCGTCGCTGCGGCCTCCGGCGGGCTCGTCGCGCTACGGTGTACGTGCAAGGGCGCCAACGAGCTCCTCTCTGACGATGCGGTGGCGGCGGCTGTGCTCACGGTTATGCCGGAGCTCTCGTGGCTCGGCGGCAGCGGCCTGCGCGAGCTCTGGTTCGCCGCCGCAGCACACGTGGGTTGCGACTCGCGCCCAGTTCACCGCACCGGCACGATAAAGAGCACGTTCTCACGACCGCTCATTATATGTAGGCGCTCCGCTTCCGCAGGTGCAGACTATCGCCGGTCCGCGGGATGCACTCTTTGACGTATAGTCAGATGAGCTCGTCCAGCCGTAAGCAGCACGTCGCAGAGATCAGGAGCAAAAACTGCTCCCCTCTGCGCACGGGCGGTGACGCTTACGGTTGAGTCGGTCATCAACACGACACATTCGTGTCGTGATGGCACGCGCGCCTGCGAGGAGCCTCCGCCCGAGAGAGACTGTGTTGTGAGCCACGGGGCGCCCCGCTGCCGCAGGTGTTTGACCGGCGCCTCCTCGACCTGCACAACCCGATCCCCGGCGAGTTCGGCCTTGGCCCGGAGCTGCGGAAGGATCTGTTCTCCTACTTGTCGGTGGCGGTGCGGCGATCGCTCCTGACGTACCAGCTCGGCGTCATGCGGCTGCAGGACATCGTGTCCGGCATGTTCCGCGAGGTCGCCCTCAGCAAGCCGGAGTCGCGGAGGGTTGCAAACGGCTTCTTTTCGATGTTCGGGGTACGCCGCGCGAGGTATCTGTGCTCAGTTCGCAGTTCGACCTTGACTCTCCTCTCTTCCGTCTTAGGTGGCGTCCGAGGCGGTGCGCGCGATGTGCGAGGGCGGCACGGGGGAGGAGGCGCTGAACGAGCTTCTCGCCGCGTGGCGTACCCGGCACTCCCCTCCCTCGCTCTCACGCGTCGCGCTCACCGCCAGCCCCGACCTCTCTACGATATCCTTTACGAGTATTAGGTGCGGCCTCACGCCGGGCTTCGCGTGCGCCGTCGAGCACCGCGAGCTATACAGTTTGCTCCAGATCATCGACGCGTCGGCCCGGCCCGACCTGCGGTAACACCACCCCCGGCCTCCGCACACTAGCTCCTGACCGCTCGCGTGCAGGTCTCAGCCCCGGTCGCGCGACTCACCCGCCGGGGGGGGGGGTCCTTTTGGACAGGTACGAGATGGACCGCGCCGCCAACATCACACTCGCCATCACCTTCCAGGACGGCACGCCGCTGCTCGCCGAGCACGGCCTCTCGCTCCCCGACGTCGACGCCATCGTCGCGGGGGTCGGCATCGACGGGCCCGACAAGAACGCGTTGCGGCGCGAGGCCTTCGACGTCGTCGACCGCCAGGTCTCGAAGGCGGGGTGCGTCTACGGCGACCTTGTTGAGAAGATGCGCGAGACGGGCGACTTCGCGCGGATAAACAAGCTCAACTCGTACGGCGAGGCGCTGGGGGCGGAGGGCGGGGCGGGGGGCGCGGCGGCAGGGGGCGGCGTGGCGGAGCTCCCTAGCAAGGCGGAGGCGGACGAGGGCGAGGCGAGCGAGAGCGAGGACCATGAGGACGGCGGTGAGGACGAGGGGGAGGAGGACGAGGGGGGGGAGCTACTAGGGCGGCCGTCTCTACGGCGCTCGACACCGTGTGAGGTCGCCGGCGGCCGCACCTCTGCCGCCGTCGCTCCGCCGGCTCTAACCGAGTATCGGGCGTTGAGGGCCGCCGGCGCAAAGCGGGTCTGGTGCGCCACGGCCACCACCCTTGCCACCGCCCTTGCCGCCGCCCTTGCCACCCT